TTTTTCACTAAGGCTTTTTTTCTTCTCAGTTTTATACCCACGCCTTCGGCCTCCCGCCACCATGCCCGTTATATATATATATATATATATATATATATATATATATATATATATATATATATATATATATATATATATATATATATATATATATATATATATATATAAATATATATATATATACAGGGTGTTTTTTTTATTCTAACACATTTGTTTAAAAAAAAACCGTGAAAGCTACACTAATGCAGTTTGTGCAGGTGGGTTGTACGGCCGGGCGGACATTATGTGGGTGGCTAATCTTTGCGATAAGTCGGCTAATTAATTAAAATTTGTTAATTAACTTTTTTAATTAGTGGAAATAGACATATGGTTCCAATTAGGAACTTGCTGAGCATCATCGAAAACCTCAAAATCAACTATTTTGAGAAGGATATAACGCCGGGCAGCATTTTACGGCGTTCTGTAAAAACGCTCTATTTGGACGCGTTCCTAGATTTCGGTTCCTTATCGGAGCGCATCCACGCGCCCGCAATCCTGCTCCCCGGTGGTCGCGGCGTGAAGCCACCTCCTCGCCTCCCTCGTAGAATGGAGGGAAGTACGCCGCACGTCTGTTGCGCGTTTCATCCACTGGGGAGCAGGACCGCGGGCGCGGTGATGCGCTCCGATAAGAAACCGAAATCTAAAAACACGTCCAAATGGAGCGTTTTTACAGAATGCTGTAAAATGCTTCCCCGGCGTTATGTCCTTCCAAAAATGGTTGCTTCAGTGGTTTTCGATGATGGTCTACAAGTTTCTAAGTGAAACCACATGTCTATTTCCACTAACTAAAAAGTTCATTAACAAATGTTATTAATTAGCGGACTTATCGCAAAGATTAGCCACCCACATAATGTCCGCCCGGCCGTATAACCCACCTGCATAAACCGCATTAGTGTAGCTTTCACGGTTGTTTTTAAACAAATGTGTAAGAATAAAAAAAAACACCCTGTATATACGGTGCAGCCTGAGTGGCTCCTTAACTACCTGGAAGGGTTTGCGCTTTCCGACATTGCGAGCCAAAATGACGTGCGTACGTCATTGCCGCTAGAGAGAGAGAGAGAGAGAGAGAGAAGACTTGCAAAGAAGGAAATACTAACGTTGGAGTTACAGCCAGGGGCCGAACAGTCATCGTTAGTTACGGGGGAGGGTTTAGGGAATTAACAGATGATAGAAGAGAACATTGTGAAAAAGAGGAGGTATAGTGTTTCGCCAAAGCCGACACAGCGGGGCGGGGGGAGCCCTAAGGATAATTACGAGAAGCGGGGTAGCATCCAAAGAAGCTCGAGGTACACCTAAGCACTTCTTATAAGTTGTGAATGCGAAAGCATGCAAGCCGCTCGTTCGCTCCCTTTTTCGTCTGCTGCGTACTTTTCGTCGCCAGTCTGCGCGCGTGCTCCACTGGGCATGCTGACCTTGGACGCTCCATGTTAACGGCGCGCTGATTGAGACGCAGTGCCATGGGGTGAGCGGTCCTGGAAACTGACGAGCGCAGCGGCCAATGGGAGCCCCGTCGACGCGCCCCGTCGACGCGCGCCAGCCAATGGAACCGAAGGCGAAATCCATCAGCTTTACTTCGCTCCTATTGGGATCGCGGAAACTAGATGCCGTTTTCGCGCTTCAAACTGATGACGTCAGCTCGCTCCATGGGAAAGTTGATGCTTGCACATTAAATCGCAGCTGAAGGAAGGCGGCGAAAGTGATGAAGAGGGGGGAGCCCTTTTTGTAGACTCCAGCGGTGAGCGCAACCGGTGGCACACACGGTCGTCCAGAAATCGTCTCCATTACGGTGCACAGAACAAACACACAGCACGCACAAGCACAGTATCCAGTGTTGAGCGCTTCGGGAAGTTCCGGCGGGTTGACGGGATCCGAGTTGTCCAAGTGTACACCGACTAGCATGGGCATTAAAGGGACACAGAAAAGGGTATTTATGCTCGCCAAGGTTTTTATTTGTACATGACATTTGAGAGTCCCTACCCAGAAAACAATTCGCGGCTTCAAATTTGTTTTCTTTCCTCCCGAAAACCGCAGATCCAAAACTTGCAGGTTTGAGTCACGCTCGCTCTCTTCCCCGTGGTCACGTGCTGTTTTTTTACGGTTCAGAAACAACAATAAAGTTACTGCAATAAACGCAAGAAGTTCAGGTGGTGCTAGTGTTCTGTTGCATTTTGAAGCAGACAGCAAACAGTCTAAATTTGACTTCCGGTAATGCACTCCTATGGGAAATCGCAAATGCGTTTTCTCTTCGCCCTCGATTATAGAGCAAATTTTGCTTAGTGTTGTGACAAAATAAAAAGGTTTGGAACGTTTTACAGTCAGATGTACAAAGATATGTGTCAGTTAGAGCGTTTCTCTTCGGAATTGATGGCGTTGAACATTGCGCTAAAATAGCCGAATACACATGTATAATACCTGTTGACGTTGCAGACTGCTATTATTGGGCACGTATATACGCATATAGTCAATGCTATGAAGCACAGAGTGAATCCGCTTGAGAAAACACCAAAACGATGCTAATACATGCCAAATCAAACAATCAAAGGAGACAAAAAGTACGAAGCATGGAGACATGGAACGAAGAACACGTACTGGATTAGTAACAAACTGTGCATTAGTAACAATCTGCGTTTCCGTTATCCGAATGATATTACAGCTTGAATAAACCCTACGCACTTTTTAATCGTTTTCTTAGAGCGCAGCTCTTAGGCGCCCGTTTCCGGGTTGAGCGGCGTCGCCGTCGGCGTCGGCGTAACCGCGGGTTGCATTATGGGGCGTATGACGTCACATGTGACGTCACGAGGGGAACCTTGCGCGTGATGCAAGTGAAAAACCTCAGGGCCGGTTTGCTGGTGAATACCGGTACCTCTCCCGGCGCTGTTAAAATAGCCACATTGGGAATTTGTTGTCACGTGACCTGCTCCGTGGGGAGAATGTACCTAGCGTCCCAGACGATTCCGTTCAGCAGTTGTAGTCCGTCGTTTTACAGGGACAGCTGTCGGTGGTCCGTCCCTCCGGTTTTGTGGCAGCGTGAGCGTGGACGAATTCAGTTTCCAGCCTCAATTTCGCGGATAAATTGACGTCACGATAGCTATGCACGAGTTCAGTTTCCCCGCTTAATTTGGCGAGAAAATTGATATCACGTGACCTACGTCATAGGACCTAGAGACAAATTTAGGTCCCTCATCTAAATTACGCGTAAAAATTGACGTCACCTGACCTATACACAATTTAGTTTTTTCCGCTAAATTTAGCGGAAAAATTTACGTCACGTGATCTATGCACCTAGTCAGTTCCTCCCGTAAATTGAGCGGAAAAACTGACGTCACGAGACCTATGCACCAATGCAGTTTCCTCGCTAATTTTGGTGGCAAACATTGGTATAACGTGACCTAGCGCCTCGGGCCCTACAGACAAATACAGGTTTCCGTCTAAATTTAGCGTAAAATTCACGTCACGCCAGCTATGCACCAATTCAGTTTCCCCGAAAAAGTTGGCAGAAAACTTATAAACCTGACCTGACTTCATGGGACTTAGCGACAAATACTGGTTTTCCGCTAAATTTAGCGGAAAAGTTTGCGTCAGGTGACGTATGCGCCAATTGAGATTCGCCGCTAAATTTAGTGGCTCAATTTAGGTCAACTGATTTATGCACCAATTCAGTTTACCCGCTGAATTTAATGAAACATTGACGCCACGTGATCTGAAGTCACGCGTACTACAGATAAATACAAGTTCCCCGCTAAATTAAGGGGATAGTTTTACGTCACCTAAGAGTTGCACCAATTCACTTTCCGCGCAAAGTTTGACGGGCAAATTGATGTTACATGTCCTCACGTCACGGGCCCTACTAACAAATACAGGTTCCCCACCAAATTTAGCGGAAAAATGTACGTCAGGTGACCTCTGCACAAATTTAGTTTCCACGCTAAATTTGGCTGGAAAAAAACATCACAAGCTTTCTGTCGCTGTTTAAAAGTATCACGTCGTGTGATCGTGGCCCAATTCTTTAAATCTCGCCTAAAACAACCTTCCCCAGCAATCACGTTGCATGCTGCTCTTCATGCAAAAGTATGCTGTCAATTTATGTTACCTTTCGGTCCTTTTTGCTTCTTTCTATGTGCTAAATCGTAATTGAATATTCGCACACAAGACGTGCTTGCGGCCGCCATTTGCCTCAGACGCCAGACACAGTGCTCTGCAAACTTATCCGCAACACTAGAACGGAGTCTTAAACTCAAGCGAGCGCTATCCTAGCTGGCGGAAGCCGAAAAACTGTTCCATGACGTTCTACTCCGGAAGGCCGCTCGCTCAATGCCGAAATCGCTGCTTGACCGTAGATCAACAGAGCAAATGTGCCAGCGAGGCAACCTACACTTTTCGCCTCATTGAGAAGGAGAATCGGGTGCTTATACTGGCTGCGTCATTCCATCCTAGACTGTCTCGACAACCACCTATCCATTTTTGGCGCGAAAACGTGGAGATAAGTATAAATTGATCCACCGGCAAAATTGCAGCGGCGTCCATTGTGTAGCGAGCAACCTCCACTGCTCGGGCTGCTCCATTGAGCGCTACGTCATGAAGCATTTATTCGGCAGCCACCAGGATTGCGCTCCCAAGGAATACGACACTGTTTGTAAGTACCGGGTACGTTTGGTGACCACTGTGTCTTTCGTTTGTCGTCCCTGGGAAATGTGAGGTCACGCGACTTAAAATTTTTCTTCAGCTGTTTTAACCACCGTAAAATAGGGTCACCAGCAAACTGGCCCTGGCTAGAAGTCTTAACTGCACCGGCTAAATTTGTTTACCACAACTGTGGCTTCATACGCCCATCGGGCTGACTAATTCCCCGCTCTCTGGACATACACAGAACACAAGCTCATGTATAAAATCACTTTCTCGTATATTTAACATCATCACCGATGAATGATGGGACTAAAGCAAATTTTATTGCAAGCGGCGATTCTCCAAATATCTTTGTGGCTGATAAAGAGTCCAGGTATAACGCCGAATGCTGAAGTAGGTCCACATTGTAGGGACAGGCGCGAGGCCTTTAAAAGCTCATCAGACAAGGGGTGCCAGGGAGGCATTCCGGTCTGTGCAGCAGGGCAGCCGGAACACGTTGCTGTAGAAACGGAACCACTTGTTGGCGACTGCACGACAAAGGAACGGCAACTTTACAAAACGGTGAACACGCTCCGAGGAAAGAGTCGCGTTTGCACTCTCGTTCAATTCGTGGAAAGCTGACGATATACGCTGATAACTTAAAAAATGGCGGACGTGGCATACTGTAATTACGCTTCTTGCTTCGTTTTTTTTTCAGGTTTGTTATCGGAAGATGCCGCAATCTAGTTGGCTGCAGAGCGATATTGAGATGCTGGACACATCGTCACGCCCTACGTTCATTAAGTTGTTGACGGCTGTAGACGCTACGCAACCCCGTAAATGGTACATAAACAAAGAAGATGAATACAACGAAACCATCAAAAATATCCATGGTTAAGACTCGAGACTATGAAGTTGTCGCTGACAATGTTACTGTCACTTTTTAGTGCGTTCTTAGACACAGGCGACCATACTCTAATCGTACTTTGTACTCCAATCAATTAAAATTAAAGGGGCACTCAATTGGTTTTTGGGGAAGATACTTTTTGGTGCGATGGCGTTAAGAAACTGTCAGTGAATGAGTATGTTCAGTTTTAGAAGGCAGAACCGCCTATTAATCACGCAGGAATAAAATATGTGCGGACTCTTTTCTGTTCCTGCGCCGACCAATGAAATTATCGTATGTTTGAAAATTTTGGCGGCCTTTGTAAACTTTCGCTAAAGAAACAATTTTCAGTTCATTTGGATGTGTTGTGCATGAGAGTTTTACCAGACGTAAAATAGTTCTAGTTTAAAATACGCGATACTGCAATTATCGTTTCACAAACAAGGGACTACGTTTTCTCCTTGCGTTCCTCCGCGGGGGGTAAATTTCCCGTTCCTCGGGATGCGCGGAAGTGCACGTATCATGAACTGCAAACATGGCGTCGGTGGTGATCGTCGACGTGGACGGCGTCGTGAAAGCTTATCGTTCCGCGTAAAAGCGCTATCCTTGACTGTGAATTTTCGTCGTGTGTCGCTATGATAAGCCAGCACGTACTAGAATGGAAGATCCACCTACTCGTGCGGCGATGTCGTGGTGGCACTCTCAAGACAGCAGAAACGCCCGTACCGTCGTGTTTGTTTACTTTGACTACAGTGGTGCTTTCTAAGCATTTGTTTCCTCGAACATCGCCCATTTCTTCTTTAGCGCGTTTCATACGTGTGCTCAAGTTCAAAGTATTACTGGCGCGTACCGTATATTACTGGCGCGTACCGTATAAAGGATGCGAATTTTCACGCGTTTTCATCACCGGAGAAAAGTGATTAGTGTTAGCAATCCTGAACGCTCGCAACGTCTATAAGACTTTATCTGATCACGAAATCATATTTCTACGTTGCTACATCGCTGCTGCTAAGATTACATCGTCTTTTATAATCGTAGAAAAGGCGTGTGGCGATATTTGTATTATCGGCAAAGTCGTGTATTAGAGTTGTGATCGTCCAAGACGGCGTTTTTCTGATTCTTTTTCTTTTCTTTTTTTCATCCACTGTACCCTGCAAGCCTATCATGAGAAAAATAATAATAAAGCTTCAGGCTATAGAAAACTGTCTGTCTATATTCTGTTACGGCATTGAGTGGCAGTGCGTCCCCTTTTTAGAGGTGTCGCTGAAACAGCTGACGGCGGCGTAGAAGCGGTCGCCGTGCTGACGACCCGCTGCGCTTGTTGCAGTGGTTGCAGGTGTGTGTACGCGCGGTGCAGAGCGGTCGTTCCGGTCTCCCCGGTTGCAACGGACGCAGTCGTAGGTAACGCGCTCGTTGCACATGTCTGAACCAGCCTGCCGTCCTCCCGAGGCGAAAGTCAACGTGGCGACATCGTTGGACATCACGTACCAGAGGTTATGCTGCGATGCCCAACGTTGGTTTGGTTACGACTTGCCCCAACCGCAAATCGAAGAAACCCGAAAAGGTCTGCGTTTCGTCGTCCTCGGAACCCGAACCCGACTCTAAAGCACTGCTATCGGCCACATCGCTCGCCGGAGTGACGTCATAGGAAATCATCCCCAGGTCGGCTGTCTGCCGAAGAATTTCAATTTCTAACGGCGTCAGGTCCTCGAGCGTAGAGAACTCCGCCATGATCGAAGCTCGAATCACAAAAACGTTCGGCCGGTGCGGCGGTGCCGCTACCTCGCAATCACTGCGCGACGGAACGTCGTCCAACGCCGTTGGCCCCAGATCGTTTTGATATGCGAGCGGTGACCAATGAGAGTGGTTTCGTTTTCGGATGGGTCCGAGGTTTGGCGGCCTTCAATTACATTTTTATTAAAGAAATAATCACTGTATGACTATATTTTTTGGTTTTTAGGGATACTTAGGGCGGTCTAGATTCAGTTGTCATTATCAAAACACGAACTCAAAAACCACTTGAGTGCCCCTTTAAGTTATTTATAGTTATATTCTAGCTTTGTTTGTGTATGTGACGGTGCAGTTCTCAATCGCTTGTTATGGTTGTTTATAAACTCGTCTCAAACATAAGCGAACCCAGTGGTGGCCAAAGGAACTCCCCCACTTCCTCAATAATACGGCGTAGAGAGATGCACTGTTATAGCATGAATTTAAAAACAGAAATCGAAACCTGAAGGGATCTACCTAGCAAACGCTTTGCGCACCTACAATCTCGGAAGCCACGACGAGGTCCTCCAATCGCGTCACTAACAATCCACGCATTAGAGTAATTACACTTCAGCCATCTTAGTGCTTAAAATCAATGTTATCAGTTATCTGAAGATTTTGTTTTCTCTGAAATATAAAGGAAATACTTTGCCGCCCTCCATAACTGTTAATACAGTCTGCGAGAGTGCGAAGCAAACAACGTCGAAGTTTCCTGACAGCGTAACTGATGCCGAATAAGTGGTGTGAACTTTAAAAAAGGTTCAATGAGAACCCCTTTTTTTAAGACTCATCGAGCAACATTGACGCTCGCCCTTGCTTGGGAAGGAAGCGCCTGATTGGCTCTGAGTTCTCGCCGAACGCAAACGCGGCGCTCGTGTCCATTTAATGCTCGGAATACTTGATCGATTAATGGGCCGCAGGCGATGGCGCGTACTAATGAAAAGGGTCTCCGGTACCCACGTTCCACTAAGCACAACAATGGCGGCGCCCACAAAACAAAATGTCGGGGAATCGAGTGCCGATACTCTAACTGTGGCTTTTGTAGAGACTCTATTCGCGTGTTTGGAGCCGTGAATGGAGCAAGAAAGCCTTTCCCAAGCTAGATTCAATGAACTTTGTTTCCGAGTAACTGTCTCGCAAAACGTCTTTGCGTCTACTTTCACACACAACACTCGGAGAGCCAATCAGCGTAACTTACGGAGGCACCTCAGTCGAATGACGATGCCGAAACACATGTTTAGACTTAAAAACGCATTCTGAGTTGTGGCACTAAGCAATGCAAGCGTGACATTTTGCATTGCTTAATGTCACAACTCAGACTGCGTTTTTTTTTGGTCTGGAAGCGCCACCACCGCGGCGTGGCGTAACAGAGTTGAGTTTCTGTATGAGTGACTTCTACAAACTCACTCCACTTGGATCCGTAAAGGACGGGGCAGCCGGCGTGCTGCGTGAGCTTGTCTCCTTCCCCACTCGACTTAAGGTTCCACCAGAACGCAGCATCGCCCTGCACAACGAAGTTTTCTGTTAGGACCAATGCTATACAGCGGCCGGAAATGGTTCAGCATGCACAGCCGACAATATGACATTTTTTTAAACGAGCAAGGACTTTATATATAGCGTGGAAACAAAGATATGTACGACCTCTTTTTTTTTCTTTTCTCGAAGTGCATTATTTTACTTCATTGCGTCTTATTCCTATAGTCACTGATGGAGTAAGAATGACGGGAGTCAATTGAACGTTCAGCCTCCAACACGTGCTTCATGTCTTCCACCGTGCTTTGGCTGGGCGTGCGTTCTCGAAGATTGTCGAAAGTGTGGAAGCTCGCGCTGGCGGCGTGAGCTTCGGTGTATTTTGGTGCTCTTGTCGGCCGAAACCGCAATCTTATTGTTTGCCGAGTGATGATAAGATATACGCCGTGTCTCGCTTTTTTTATGCCGGGGTCACACTGCTCATACGTTACACAAGAGGCACGAATGACAAAAATAATCCGCGGAGAAGGGGAACAAGGGTGACGAAGGACAAACACAAATAAGACCTTGTCCAGGGCTTATTTTCGTCATTCTTGTCCAGCTCGCTTCCACCTTTGCATGAATTGCATTATCATAATAAAAACACGTGTCACCGCAGTGTCCGTGGTTCGAATACCGTGTGCCAAGTTTCTCCTCGGGATCATTGCCATGCGGCATTCGAAGCAATGATGTCGCGGTGGCTCGAGTTCGAATCTGTATGTAGTCTGTCCTTTGTATGATGTTTAATCAGTGTGAAAACCCGATTTTACCCCTAGATGGCGACACCGGTCTGTGGCAGGGCTCGTGGTACCGATGTTCCGGTTCCGGCTAGAACCCTGTGCACGTTGCACGTTCACCGCGTGCTCTCGTCTACACCACACGGTGCCAGCGCTGCCCAGTTGCTCGGCAGCTAAGTAAAACAAGCTAGCCCAGCCAGCTGATTCATCGGGGGATGCCAAGCTGTGTGGCTTTTATTCTCTGTTATGGGTTTCTGATCCGTGGTGCAGTAATTTCTATATGCATTTGTGCAAGACGCTGCGAAGTGAGAAGACGATCTTGCGGCTTGACTTGTTAATGTTTCGTGAATTAAAAAAAAATAAACAATTGCTCCGTATAAATTTTCAGCAGGCCCTTTCTTTCAAGACACAGGTTGACAAGGACGTCCGCTGGACAAGTAGCGACGTTTGGGGATTGCCTTATCTGATCAATACGACAACAATTGAAAGGCGACTGGATGTTACAAAATAATGATTCAATAAGCGAAGAGATAGTGCTCAAACTAGCGGGGGATGGTTGAGCATATTTGAAGACAAAACCCCGAAACTGGAGAAGAAACGAAAAACTTTGTTGTGTCGTCCTTTTTTTTCCTCTCAAGATTTTGATTTAAAATACTGTTTCGGAGGAAGGCGCTGCATATTGGATATATGAAAGTGCCTAGATAAAAGCTTCACCTACAGACAACTGTACTGCTTGAGGTGCCGACTAAGTTAGGTATAGTTTGAATACATTGTTCCCATATCTCGGTTAACTATACTTGGTACATCGCTGCGCCTTTGGGCGTGCGTAACATATTGCTATCTAAGTGCAAAAACTATCTGGATTTGTTTTTTATCTCAGTTCGAACAGTCTGGGGTCGATATTTAAAATTTTTAGAAAAATACATAATTTATGGTCTATTCTTAAAATAATAAAAGACGCAAACGGCAAGCTTGGTGTAGTTTATTGTTTCCATGTCATTTACCATTGAAGCGGCCGATGCCAGAACTGAAATTTCATTCACCTGTCGGGGATCGCAAATATGACCGCTCGCTATTTTCTCACTTCCCAAGCAAATACACTAGGACTCTTCTCCAACACATTCAAAATAAATTTCATTATGAAAAATAAAAAAATAAAAAAATCTTGTATTTTGAAATAATCGAACAAAATGTTTAACCCGTTGGTGCTATACGGTCAAGTTTTGCAAGTTCTTACGTGAGGCCTATTTTTGGCACGTTTTGTGGGGTTGACACAGGGTGGGCAGCATTGCGTAGCTTATTTATACGCAATTTATGTTTTAGAGAACTCGCTGGTGACCCTTCTGACGTGATTCACACTTTTCATTTTTGTTTTTCTCGCAAGATTAACTGTGATTTGCTTCAAGAACGAGGAGGCAGCGCGAGAAGATATTTGAGGCAAGAATCCTCGGCGTCAGGGACAGAATCAGCGACGCTTTTCTTGAACGTCTCAACCTCGATTTTAGCCACATTTCTAGAAATGCACAAGTTCGCGTCGTCTGCTACAGCATAATTCCTTTCTTGAAATTTAGGACATTTTGCCCGCTTTAATAAAATTAAAATCAAGAAAAGTGATTTTAATTAGAACATGATATACTAAAATTAAGAACTTGTTGTTAAAATAGCCGTCCACTTTTCTGAAACTGGTTCCTTACCTACAGATTCGAGCTTCATAATAATCCCATGATTTAAGTATTTTTTTATCAAACCTTAATATGAATAAAACCAAACCAGCCCTACAAAAGCAAGCCTAGTTCCACTAATCTACACTTTAAAAAAAATTAGATCAGGTGATAGAATGATATTTGAAGACGCAAGAACGCGCGGAGGGAGCTTTTTGAAAATTTATCATATTAAAGTGGTGCTTACAAAAAAAAAAGAAAGAAACTGCAGACGTTACACTTCTAATATATCAATACATTTTTTTAAATGTTCATTTTCTATGTTTACCAGGGGCATGTTCTTAAAAGCCGTTGGTGTGTCATGATGAGAAAATTAATTACGACACTTCAAAATCGTAGAGAAAGCGCACTTTCTGAATAAATATCTAAACGAATACTAGTCTACCAATTAAGTCAAAAACGTAAATACAGCAACACACGAGTCCTTTATCTTTTCGAAAAATGAAAACGGAAATGAGATGCATTACAAGTCTCAAAACTTGGAATGCGTAAATCTTAAAAAAAAAAAAATTGCATTTTTTTTGTGCTCAAAGTTTTGGGAATTGCATGGTCCATTTTACACTAAGAAACTAATGATGAATTGACCATTTATTTTCAGAAAGAACAAATTACGACACAACATTTACATCGCAAACAGGAGCGTTAGCAAAGCTGCCGCCGGTAGTAGGGTTTGGGTTGTGGGACCTCCACCTTAAAAAAATATTGAAGCGAAAAAAAATAGAGGGCTCTATACTTTGTGTAATGTCTGGTACTAGAAGTTTTTATGGCAGTATTTACGCCGTTAGATCCAATGTTCGGGGTGAGGGGCAGCCCCGTTCTAGGCCACGCCCGGTGCTTACAAAATCTAAACACCTTTTCTTCGCTCTCATTGGTAGGAAAGATGAGGTCTAAAATGTTGGTTGTAAAATTGTATCTCCGTGCCGTAAGTGTATTGTAACCGACAATATTTTTATGTTTGAGAAACCAATAATTTAGATAGTCATTAATGTTTTCAAAAATATCTCTAGATTGTCTTACGCTTCGGTTTCAAACAATAACAAACATGGTAGCCGGCGTCCGCGGAGTGATCAACGAGAGCAGCTCCTCAAGCTCCATTATTATTCTTTTTTTTTTAGTGCGAGTCGTTTTGGGTTTTTCCCTAGGTGTTTAGACCAAGATCTCTTCATTGGATCTAGCTTGCAGCAAACAACTGCTGCAGGTAAACGCTTTCGGAAGCGCTGCCTGGGTTCGTACCATGCGGTAGAGGGACTGGTCTAAGCCTAGCGTTCTACTTAAACTCTGTTGTTGATCTAGCTTGATTTGTTCCTTAGCGCGCGTTCATGCTGATTAAAGATATTAGTTCCCGTAAAGACGGCCCAACCTTAACGGGGTCCGAGCGATTTGGCTGCAGGCAATCGTGCGCTCAGCTCGCATCTAGTTTGTGAAGGTTCGTTCCTGTTATTTCCTTTCGAAAGGAAAGTAGCTCTCAAATTTTGCAGTGCACCTGGCCTGCCAATGCGAATATTTTTAGATTCACGTTTTAGCTGTGCGTCATGACGCTCCCCCTCCTTGCTCGCGGATGCCACGTGAAAAAATAAATAGACCCGAAAAGCTGGAAGGAGTAGATATTCACTTCACGGATACACTTTTAGTCCTCTTGGTCGCCTTTAACGCACATCGACAGGCGCTGGCAGATGCTTGTTTTGAACAGTGGCTCGTGCATGATGGAGCGCTAGAACTCCGCTTTTATTGTCACGTTTTGCAAGCGTTGCATAAGATTTTAGACTGGAGTGGAATAGCAGACGACCGAAGGCGAAAACAGACGACGTCGCGCAGCTTTTATGTCCGCGTCTGGGCTTTGCAGACGACAATGAACAGTGGTGTGGAATAGCAGACGATGCCGGAGGTTGCCGAGCGTCTGCTCGCACGACCAGCAGGTGGGGTCACACTTTCAGACTCAACGCACGGAACGTCCGAAAAATAGAGACAATAGGCTTCCGAGCTTGTTCTGCCGAACAGCCAAGCCAATCCAGTAGTAATGGCTGGGGCCACTGATCTGCGGGCATGGCTTAAAACGGGCGATGACCTCCACCCAAAAAATCTAACAGCGTAAATATTGCAAAATTTTTTCTTTCGTTATAAAATATGAAAATATAAAACGTGTCCCAGTTATTCCTTTTAAAACTAATGCTTTCTCTTTTTTTTCACTTCAGTGCCACTTTCAAACTGAGCCGCCACGGCGGCCATAAAACAAATTACGATGTAAGTAGGTGTTTGAACTGCGATTATCACGCTTGGTTGCTTTCTAAAAATATTTATTAAAAGCGATTATACAGAATAGGAAATTGTCTTCTTTTTGATATAAAGATAGATGAGTATATTTGAAGGTAAGCTCGCGGGGAGCATGTAAAATATTTCGCTCATGCCGTACATGGTGGGCTAGTGCAAATTGGCTGAGTTGAATGGCGGACCGAATTAGTTACGTTTTTAACAGGTGGAGATAAAACATGCTTGCTTTGCATATCGTAGCCCTTTCCTCATTTTCGTCTTATATTGAG